CTTGCTAGTAAGCTTGTTCCATGCATACTGGATTTATAAGAAACTCACTGTTTTACCCTTTGAAAGGCCTTTTTTGAGGAACAGTGTTTCAGCCCTGCAGCCTGGATTCCAACCAAATTAAAAAGCAGGTGGGGCAAACAATTTTCTTTCAAGATAAGCAAGATCATACTTTTCTATTTATTGAACTGTTTTAAATTGGGGATATTTAAGGTCACTTGCTTCTGCATGGGATGGATAAAACAATTTTACTTTTTAAAAAATCCTAATGAGAACCTTTTGTCCCAACTCCCCCAAATATGGCAAAGAGCAAGAGCAAATTGTTCGCTACATCTGTGCTAAATTTGGTACTGCTCTGAAATACAGTTTCAAAGTTATAAACTTTTGTTTGGGCTGCCCCCATTTTTAAAATTTCCTTGTAGAATGTTGATTTGTTCTGCCAGTAGTATAACCTCACTGCACTCTTGTGCACGAATAATGAAGCCAAATGCAAATGCTTAGTTCGCTCTTTTTTTGCAAATAAATTGCAAGAAATGTTGGAAAAAACAAGGTTTTGTATAGACATAAGTGGTGCATTGAAAAGTCTGATATTTACATGGACTAGCAGTTCAAATTTAATTTTATAATCTTATTTTCATTCCTAGTCTTGATTTTATAACCCCCTGCTCAGAAATTGTGTTGTTTCTTCTGTGTTTGGCAAAGATTACATTAATGATGTGAGATAAATAAGGAGAATCACACTTCCATATTTTAGTTTGAAGAAAGTTGTCTGAGTTAGCATTTACCTGCTGCCTTAACATATCTAGTACTCCTGGCTCCTGATAATTTGCCCCCCTCAAAAAAAACTTGGCTTTGGTTGATTGTTATATGGCATCATGGTTCCATTTCATTGATTTGTGAGCCCTGTAGATGTCCATGGCATGAGTGGACATCTACAGGTGATGCTAGTGAGAGGATCTGGCTACACAGATAATGCAGGTATTGGTGAACAGACCAAGAACTAAGGATTTGGTTGTACTTTTCTGTTTCTAGCCAGCTTCACTAGCCAATAGCCCATAATCGATGTAACTCCAGACCAAAAGGTATCCGTTGTTCTTCTCTAAGTTCACTGAGGGTTGACCTGTTCACTTCCAAGCAGTACTCATAGCTCCAAGGTATCATGCCCAAAATTATGCCAGAAGTTTGATTCAAAATAGTGGCTTGAGCTTCCCATTCTACAGGAGAAGCACATTTAATCTACCTGTATTTCCCATTTGTTGTGCTTTCCTACCATACCAAGCCACCGAGAGTACAAGCCATGGTTTGCACCTCATGTCAAATCATGGTTTCCAATTCTTATTTAGTGGTTGAATGAAAACCATTATCTGCTCAAATACCATGGGAGATCATAATTAATGAAGCTTAGGAGCTCGAGCTTATAGTATCTCTCAATTTCTGACTCATCGTACTGTTCAGCATTGGTCCTTTGTAATTTTGGGGTACATTCTTAAACTTTCGTGGTTCCCAATTATAGAGATTCTCCCCACTATTATAAATTTGTATCTGCTACCTGAACACTGTAGATTCATAGCAACAAAATAAATAAATAAGTAATTATTTTTAAATTACTGTGTACTTTTTTTCTTCAGGGAAGTTTGATATTACTTTTTGTTCTGTTTCATACAACCAGTTCCTCTGCCTGCTGTCCCACAGACATATTTCTCATACTTCACAAATAAAAATAGGAGTGTATGTGTTTGTAATGCCTATTATTCTGCCATGGATTGCAACCACACCCATTAAATGCCACTGTAGATTTTTCCCCATCTCTTCAGTTACCCAGCAATAGTTTTTTCTTTTTTTAAAAAAACACCAGTGTATAACCCTTTTAAAGTGGTGTTTAATAAAGGTTATGCTAGTGGGCTGGCCATAACTGGTTCCTTAGATTAAAGAATGAATTGAATCTCATAATGTATCTGATTTCATTTTTTATTAGATTTTTTCACAAGATAGCAGAGAAGTTCTATACGGGTTTTTTTAAAAGGCATAGCAAAGAAGTGACACACACTCTGAAACTTTTCAACAACTTAAACATCTACTGAATTCCCATTGTTCATTGGTGTGTCTTTGGTGCCCCCTCCTTTTTGGCCTGAATTTTTTTCTCAGAAAAAAGCAGCTCAGATGCATCCAGGATCACTTGCTGTATGAATAGACAACAGTTATGAAACAGATGCAAACGGAACTGTGTGTGTTTTCTGGTGAGATTTGTGCATTTACAAATGCATAGGTCTGAAAGTGCATCTACTACAATCCAGTATTTAAGTTCTGGAAACCTGAGGGAGCTTTTGAAACGTAAAGAATTTGTTCATAAAAAAAAAATCTCTGCCTGCAGAATTAACTTGTAAACCGCCCAGAGAGTGCTTGAAGCGCTATGGGGCGGTATATAAGCAGCACGCTTTGCTTTAATTAAAAAAAAAAGGGCAATGCAAGATGGACGTATCAGAGTGTGTGTTTAGTCGTTTAGTCGTATCAGAAAATGGATGCAATTGAAGCATATGCCATGATCATAAAAACCTTAGCAGTAAAATTCTGTTATCTGTGTTTCTGATAGATAACAGCAGTTGGTTGAGATGAAATGCAACAAAATGTTCAGTCAGAATGGGTCTACAAACTACTTTGTTTTTCCCCTCCTCCAATGAAATCGAAAAGGTTCCCAAACTTGACTGTGGACCAGCAGTTTTAAACAAATTTGAGCAGCTGAATCACAGTAATAGAGAAGTGGTTTGAAATCTCCTCTGCAATGCCTTGTAGAAGATGCAATACTAGCATTCAATTAAAAAATACTGCTGTGTGCTGATAATAGTACCTTTCCCTTATGTCCTTGGTTCCTCTACTACAGACCTTATTGTTCCATGAAACTCTCACTACCATTTGTCTTTGATATCTTAATGACAAAGAATGCATCTGTGCTGCACAGCAATATCAGTTTGATGCCACTTTAATTACTGTGGCTCAACTCTAGGGATCTGTAGTTTTGTAATTATAATTCACAGGATTTTCTGCTATTTTTGAGGGGAGGAGACTAAAGATTTTTATTAGATAATTCTAAGTACAGTGGTGCCTCGACTTACAACCATAATCCGTTCCAGAATGATGGCCGTAACTCAAAATGGCCGTAAGTCGAAGCACCATTTCCCATAGGAATACACTGAAATGCAATTAATCCATTCCGGCCAAAGGAAAAAAAAAAATCACTAAAACAATAATTTTTTAAAAAAAATCACTGAAAGACTCATTGGAAACACGATTGATCCCTTCTGGCCAAAGGGGAAAAAGAAAATAAAAGCAATCAAGTGTGCAAGACCCATTGGAAATGTACAGAAAGCAAATGGAGCAGATTGGAAATGCACAGAGAACAAAGGGACAAGGTCAGAAATGCACAGAAACCAAAGGAAAAAGCAAGAGACGCATGCAAGACACGTCGAAAATGGGGAAAACCCCCCCAAAAAGCAACCGAACCCCCCAAGACCCATTGGAAATGGGGGGGAACAAAAAAACAAGCAGCCCTCCAAGACCCATCAGAAATGGGGGAAAACAATCTAAAAAACAACCAACCCCCCATCAGAAATGGGGGGAACAAAAAATAAACAACCCCCCCAAGACCCATCACAGCACAGAAACATAACCCCCCCAGCCAAAAA